AAGGGAAGATCTACACCTCCGGAGGGTCGGAAGTGGGTGAGTTTGTGCAGAGCGTCCCATGGGTTTGGAGAGATGGTGAGAAGCCAGTAATGTTGGATTGGTGGATTGTGTTGACAGGAAGTTCAGCTCTGAATCTGTTCGAGTGCTACGACACGCGCTCGGAGACGTGGCAGACGAAGCCCAACATGCTGATGCCGCGCTGCAGTCACGGCTCGGTGGAGGCCAGCGGTCTCATCTACGTCTGCGGAGGAAGTCTGGGAAACAACGTGTCCGGCAGAGTCCTCAACGACTGCGAGGTGTACGACCCCAACACTGAAGAGTACGTCTGTGTCCAAAACACAGCGATTAATCGCTTTTCCTAGCAATAGGTGGATATTCATGACTTGTTTGAAAAGGGATAGTTCACATTCTCATAGTCATAGTTTCAGTGTTATTTTAGTATGATTATATACTATTATAGTATTTATTCATATTTGTTACTTTTTTTATTTGTTTAATTTATTTCAATAAATGTATTTAAATTTTTATTATTTAATTTTGTTTTTTTTTCTCGGTATATTATAAACAAACTATTTAAAATTACTTTATTATTTTAAATAAAGTCAAATATAAATATTAGATTAAAAACTTAACCTTAAAAAACTTTAAAATGTTTTATTGTTTAATTTGATTGTTTTATTAATTTTTATTTGTTGTTTTAGTACTTAAACTTATTTTAATGCAGTTAGTTGCCAAGGCAACATTTTAAATTTTTTAATGAATCTAATATTTATATTTGATTTTATTTTATTTCAAATGTATTTCAATTAATGAAAATGTTTTTAATAGTTTTAGTTAACAACAGCAAAGCATAATTTCCTCACCTTCTGCTCCAAAAAGGGCAAAAAAACCCCTCTATTTTCAAGATACAGACCAATTTAGTTGTATTTCTTAGCAGGTTGATATTCATGACACCTACATTTCATCTGAAGTTTTAAAGGAATAGTTTCCTAAAATGTCAATTCTGTCATAATTTCAGTGTTGTTTTGGTGTTATTTATAAGCTATTATAGTGTTTATTAATATTTTAAGTTAGCTTTTGTTTTTATTTGTTATTTTAGTACTTTTAGTACTTTACAAGTTCAACTTATTTTAATTCAGTTAGTTGCCAAGGCAACATTAAGTTTTTTTTAAGATTAAGTTTTTAATCTAATATTTATATTTGACTTTATTTCAAATTTATTTCAAATAATAAAGTAATTTTAAATAGTTTGTTTATAATATACCGGAAAAAAACAAACAAAATAAAATTAAAAAAAATAAAATACGAATAATATTTGAATTAATATTTCATTTAAAATTGATTTCAGTTAATGAAAAAAATTTTCTCCAACGAAGAAAAAAAAAAAAAAACAATCATAAAGGTACAACTTGTATGCTATAATTTAAGTCAAGATTTCCCAAAATAATAATGAATTAAATCGTAAAAATGTTAAATTAAAATAAATAATTATTTAAAATACTTATTTATGTTTATGTGAGCTGTCCTGTTAACTGTGTGTGTTTGTGTGTGTGTGTTCTCTGTGGGATGCGGGAGGCCCGTAAGAATCACGGTCTGGTTGTGGTGAACTCAAGAATATACGCCGTCGGCGGGCAGAACACACTCGGTATGTTTCTATGAAAGTTCACATCTTGTGTCAATATTTGCTTTGTTTTAATGTATTAATGTT